AAACAACCAAAACCCCCAACTCTTCCACAGCTGGCGGCCCCACTTGTGCCCCCTGCAGACTCTGTCCCTGTGTTTCTCTATCTCTGCCTCTCTCTTGCTCTTCTGTTCTCTTGCTGTTTCTTTTGTCCCTTCCCTTCCTCTGCCTCCATCCCTACACTATATTCCTCGTCTATTTCTTGGCTTCTCCCTGTCCTGCCTCTGACTCTCAGCATATCTTTTTTTGTAATCTGGTGTGTATTTCGCACTTACACAACGCCTTGATTGGGACCTTGACTTTTCTCCAGAAATACTTAATCTGTGTTTAGATTTCATGAAATTTGTAACTGAAAAACTAGGTTCACATACCCAAGTTGCTCCAAATGTACTTGTAAGTTTTCTAACCACTGAAGTGAGTATCAATTCTAACTAAAATTAAGTTTCACATTTTCTGCTAGCCATGTTTCGAGCGCTTAATAGTTACATGTGGCAAGTGGCTACCATATTGAATGATGCAGCTCTAACCTGCCGTTGTGTCTCTCGGTAAAACTGTCCACCTCTCTCTGCCTCACTCTCCCCATTTATAAAGTGGGGATGACAACCGTACCTACCTTAAAGGGTGAGGACTGAGTGAGTTACTCTGTGTAAAGCACTTTATGGCTCTCCTTCAGTGATACCCGGGGCTCGAATGGGGCCATGGCTCAGTGCCAGATACACAGCACAGCAGGGGCCAGGACCTGGGTCAGGAAAGTCCATGGTGGCACCTCTCCCAGATCAGTGAAGTTAAGGCTCCACCCCTGAATTCAAGATATCGGGACTATCAGTCCTTTTTTCCTGGATCAGGAGAGTATGATTCAACCTCTGGGGTCATAGTCCTGCGACCTGCAAAGGGTTGGCCAACGTTGTAAGAGAGATGATGTTGCTTCATATTCCCCCACTCCCTTTTGAGGGAGAGAGACAGAGTGAGGTGGAAACCCAGGCCCAGGGCACGACGGGTGCATGTGGCACATTCCTTCACGTCCTGGACAAATCTGGACTGAGCCTGCTGGAGGCCGGGCCTGATGATGGAGACACACATGAGCGCAAGGGACATCAATCAAATTGCACCCAGTTCCTGCATTCCTGGAGCTCAGAATCTAAAGGCAGAAACAGAAACACCAAGACAGAGATAGCAAAGGATAGAGAGATAGTCACACAAGACTGTCTGAGAGGGTCAGAGAAATGTCCTGCAATGTGAAGGAAGAGCCAGAGATGGGGACAGAAGTGCCAGGCACTGCTCAGAGCAATCAGAGAGCCGGGGATGGGGAGGGAACTGAACGCCACACCCGCCAGGCCTCCGTCTCTGTCTCTCTTTCTCTCTGAGTCTCCCCATTTCTGTGCCTCTCCTTCCTCCTGTCCTCCCATCCTCTCATCAGTGGCTGTCACCAGGGGAAGGGGGTGGAATAGGGGGTTGGAGGTAGACACCAGCCACCTAAAGGTCCCACAGAGACAGGGATTGGGAGACGCACAAACACGCAGGCACACCCAGACTCACGCATGGGGTGGGGGGGGGGGGGGACTTGCGCCCAGATGCACACACATGTAAGCCCTGACACAGGCAAAAACATATATGCAACCTCATGCAGATGCATACACAGAAACACACCAGCACGTTCACGTGAATACAACAGCGCTCTGCATATAAAGTCATACCAGCACAGGCACAGACGCAAGGAGGCGTGGGACTTACGCAAGCCAGAGCACTTCAAGCCGAATGCGCATGCTCACCCATAGCCGCAAAACAAACACAGCATGTGAGCACCGGGCACATGCACTCTCGTGGGCTTTGGAATCGCTACCGCCTGGTCTCTGCCAACATGTACAGGGTTGTGTGAGCCGGAAGAATGGGACGTCCCATACTTGAAAAACACACCACCCTTTTAAGTTCACACTCTTGGACGTGATGAGAGGGGAGGCGGGGAGTGAATGCAGTTACATAACTGGGTGGGGTAGTCAGCTCAGGATAAAAGGCCCAGCTCAATCAAGGCTGAAGTTGGGACAAAGACAGTTGGGCCGGGCCATGGAGCTCAGTGTCGTTCTCCTTCTTGCTGTCCTCACGGGACTCCTGCTTCTGCTGGCCAGGGGCCACCCGAAGGCCCATGGCCACCTCCCACCAGGCCCCCGTCCTCTGGCCTTCTTGGGGAATATTCTGCAGATGGACAGAAGAGGCTTACTCAAATCCTTCCTGAGGGTGAGATGCCGATGCATGGGGTCTGAGGGTGACTCACTGCCCCTGGACCTGGGGATCACTCCCCAGAAGGAGTGAGGGCATCCTTTCAGGCTCCAGGGGTGGGGTGTATGAAGGTTGGCGAGGGAGGTGCATGGAGGTGAAGCATGGTAGCTGGTGGTCAGATGGTCAGAGGCGTCCCTGCTCAGTTCAAGTGTGTGGGCACGGGCCCCGGAGGGGGGGGGGGGGTGCCCACGCGGAGGCGTCTGGGCGCAAGCCGTGGGTATAGAATTTCATACTCTTCTGCCACCGCCTGTGGAGTCTCTGGGCGCCTGCCCGGCCCTGGAAGAGAGAGAAGGGGCAGAGTCACCAATCATAAGTTTCTCCCCTGGCAAGAAAAGAGAGCGGAGATTGGCCCAGGTAGATGCCAGGAGGAGAAGGAAGACGGGAGGAGGCACAAGGTTCTTACCAATAACGGTCACAAATGTGCAGAAATGGCTGACCCTGGAGTGTTTACCAGGCTCTGTATCACTGCTTTCTACGCATGATTTTACGTGTGGTTATCGATTTATTTATGAATAATGTAATCTACACCGGTGCACCCTCGTGGCAACAGAAGAACTGGGTCACCGACATAACTGCCAGCTTACATACCCTGAGGCCACCACACTCCTGAATCTTGGGTTTGTCATCCCTTTGCTTTTAAGAGAGAATTTTCCCACAAGTGGAGGGATGGGTATGCACAGGCCCCGAGTACTTTTTACTTCAGTGCCTCCCAAGGGCACCACGTTTTTCTATAAACTCCTAGGCTTGATTTCTTTGCTCAGAATTACATGGCTAGGATTTATCTGTATCGCTGTGGGAACTCATCAGGTCTGGCTTACCACACGCCTGCGGGCGAGGAGAGGTACTGTCCTTCCTTATCTCACAGGTATGGACCGTGAGGCTCAGCCTGGGGAGGACACTTGTCCTCAGTCACACAGCTGGGACTTCATGGAGGGAAAGCTGGGGTCTGGCACAGAGGTGTCCTCATCTCCAATGTCCTCCTGGGCCAAAGCTACCTAATGATTTGGGGATCACAAATCCTTTGAGAATTTGGTTAAGCTGTGGGCTCTCTCCCCTGCAAATGTCCACAAAGATTTTTACATACAATTTTGAGAGTTCCAGACCCCCTCAAGTTCTTCCATGGAACTTCCAGGATTCTTTAGGGGTCCATGATCCTCCATTATTATTGCATCTTTGGAGACAGGAAGGGAGAGAATGGACTAAGGGGTGTCACGATGGGACAGGTCGGAGAAGGTGGCCCCGCTCCTCCTCCATTCCCTAGTATGCTCCCAGATCTTTCTAGAGTCAGACAGATGTGGATTTTGTGTTCCAGAGTCAACTCTTACTCATTGAGTCTCAGTTTCCTCCTCTGTTAAAATGAGATGGTGGTGAGAATGTGTGTCTTATAACATTAATGAGGACTGGGTGGCATACTGCATAGAGAGCCTGGTGTATATAGTAAGTGCTCATTAAATGGCAGCTCTTTTGATCCATTCATTCAACAGTCATTTACAGGGCACCTTCTGTGTCCTGGGAATATTCTAGGCATTGATGATGTGGCTTTGGACAAGGCATACAAGTTAAGCAAATAAGGAAATACTAGGTAGACAAGAGCTATGATTAAAAGAAAGCCAGGTGCTATTTTAGAAAGTGGTGGAGCTACTTTAGATTGAATAGTGGGGGAGAGGCTCAGTCTCGCTGTGTCTGTGAGCAGACACCCTGCAAGATGTAGGAGCAAAGCACCGTAGAGAGGCAGGTGTCAGTGCAAGAACACTGAAGCGAGAGCAAGCTCGGCATGTTTGGGGGAGAACATGGAGGCTGGATCTGAAGGAGGGAAGGTGCGAAGGGGAGGACAAGCAGAGGGGTGATGCAGCCACCTCATGCAGGGCGATGTGGATCAAGGTGGAGACCTCAGATCTTACCCTCAGCGCAGTGGGGGGCATTGGAGGGTTTGGAGCCAGTTAGGGGTATTAATTAATTTACATTTTCATAGGGAATACTCTGGCTTCAGACTGGGGTGAGGTGGGTGGCCAACTGATCGTAAGGGGAGAGGAATGGCAGTAGGGAGACCATAAGGAGGCTCTGCAGAGATCAGTGGGAGAGATTTTGCAGTAAACTTAATCTTTTCATGATTTTAAGTCAAATTTTAGTGAGGCTTAACATGACCCCTAAAAGTGCACAAGTCGTAAACGTTCAGCTCAGTGAATTCTCTCAAGCGACATACTCTTGTAATTGACATATAGGTAAGTAACAACACGTCCTGTCCCCAGAAGCCACCCTCCAGTCCCCTTCCAGTCACCACCCTCTCACTATCTTGACTTCATAGAAATAGAGTTAGGACATATGGACACTTTTGTGTCTGGTTGATTTGGCTCAACACTACGCCTGTGAGTTTCATTCAAGTCTTGGCTGTAGCGTGGGTTCTTTTTCATTGCTGCATAATTATTCCATGGCATGACTATATCGCCATATATTTATTCTCTATCAGCGTTGCTGAGAATTTTATTTGAAAAACTTCAATGGGCGCCTGGGTGGCTCAGTCTGTTAGGCTTCCGACTTCGCCTCAGGTCATGATCTCGTGGTTTTTGAATTCAAGCCCTGCATCGGGCTCTGTGCTGACTGCTCAGAGCCTGAAGCCTGCTTCGGATTGTGTGGCTCCTTCTCTCTCTGCTCCTCCCCTCTTCACACTCTGTCTCTCTCTCAAAAATACATAAATGAAAGTTTTTTAAAAATCTTCAGCGAATCAGGTTGTTGGTATTTTGGTGAACCGACGTACACATTTTGGTTGGGCGTGCATCTGGGAGTGAAGTTAATGAGTCATTGAATGTGCATGTGTTTAGCTTCAGTAAATACCATGGAGCAGTTCTGCAAATCCCTGTACTGATGTTATGTCACGAGCATCCCCAAAGCTGTCCTTTTCTCTTCATGTCTACCAAGCGGTTTAGGGTAGTTCTCTGGGGAAATTGTCAGGAGAAAGACAGCAGGTTGACGTTGGGTCACAGGAAGGATGACCCTTCAGTTTCAATGCTGGGGAGATCTGGTTCGACTCAAGGGTATAGGCAGAAGTAAGAGATATTTAACCATCTGTACTGCTTAGGGCACCAACCATGCAGACTCTGGCTGGGTCATGGGTTAATCCTTTAGTTGCTGGGTCCCGGGAAGGGGAGGGCACCCTGGGGTGGAGGCTCTTGGGGTACTCAGTAGCTAATTGCCAATCTATACATGAGTGTTTTTATGGTTTAACAACTGGGATGGCCACATGGGTGCACATTGGCTAACAGTAACCTTGGGCGTGGATATGCTTCACAGCTCCGAGAGAAATACGGGGATGTCTTCACGGTGTACCTGGGTCCAAGGCCTGTGGTCATGCTGTGTGGGATAGAGGCCATACGGGAGGCCCTGGTGGACCAAGCTGAGGCCTTCTCTGGCCGGGGGAGAGTCTCTACTGTAGAACGAATCTTCCAAGGCTATGGTAAGGACCTCAAAGGCACCTGGAGGGGAATGATGGAAGATGGAAATTGGGGAGGGTGAGTCTTGGAAGGGGGGATAAGAGGCACAGAGGGGCCCGGAGTCCCTTCCAACCCTCTTGGCAATCCATGCCTTCCCTACACCCGCAGGTGTGATCTTTGCCAACGGGGAACGCTGGAAGCTCCTTCGGCGATTCTCTCTGGCCACCATGAAGAACTTCGGGATGGGGAAGCGGAGTATAGAGGAGCGGATTCAGGAGGAGTGTCAGTGTGTGGTAGAGGAACTGCGGAAAACCCAGGGTGAGTCCCCGGAGAATGGGTATGCAGGGTGCGTGGCAACAGAAAGACTGAGGTGTATCCGTGGGCAGAGAAAGAGAGGCAGAGATAGAGAACGACCCTGAGAGACCATCCAACAGAGGGACAGACAGAGATGGGTAGGAATGGAACACAGGGAGCCAGAAGAGATATGGGGTGTATAGTGTCGAGAGTAACTCAAGGACATAAACTTGGTTATGTATTAGCACGCTATTTACTTGGGTTCAGGGAAACCAACCCATGGATGACTTGTATCTGCAAGGGCAAAAATAAGACTTACATTAAAGCAGGCAAAGAGAGAAAGGGAAAAAGGATAGACACTTTGAAAATGACAAAGTGGGTTTTCATTCTTCTTGGTGAACTATTGACAAGCTGTCAGCGAGCAAGATGGGCAGCTGGGGCGTCCTGCCCTCAGGCAGCTGGGATGGGCTGTCAAAGAAGCACTTCTGAGGGGGGCCTGGGTGGCTCAGCCAGTGAAGCATCTGACTCTTGATTTCGGCTCAGGTCATGATCTTACGGTTTGTGAGTTCGAGCCCTGCGTCCGGCTCTGCGCTGACAGCCCAGATTCTCTCTCTTTCCCCCTCTCTCTTTGCCTCTACCCCACTCATTCTCTCTCTTTCTCTCTCAAAATAAATAGACTTAAAAAAAAAGAAAAGCAGTTCTACTTACTTTTGGATTCTCCATATAAGGGTGTTTATGAGACATAAAGATGACAGGGTCCTTTCGTAAGAGATTTCGAGAGGTAAATGTACAGGCTGGGAGGGAGAGGCAGAGGCCGAGACATAGGGAGCAATAGAGGACTAGGGGCAGCAGACCATGAAGACAGACTCAGATGGAAAAAGAGCGACTCCGATGGAGAGAGATACGGAAGGGAAAAGAGACACAGATGGAGAAATGAAGACAAAGAGACTGGAAGAGACCGGGAGAAGCAAAAAGAAACCAAGGCAGAGAGAAACCAAGGTAGAGAAAATGAGACTGACAGACAAGCTCAGGAAAGGGTGTGCAGGGGAGCAAGAGAAGACGGACAGGTGAGACCCGCAGAGAGAGGCTGATGCCATGACACTTCCGGGTGGGTGCACAGTCCATGCCCCCCTCCCATCCAGGGAGGTCAGGATGTATACAGACATCAACCGTCAAGTGCAGAACGATTCCCTGGGGACCAAAGAGCCCTGGAGGTGGAGAGAAGAGATGAAGGGAGGGGATGGCAGACAAGGGACAGGGAGAGCAGAGCTTTTAACCTTGCACATGTGATTGACTGAACACCTGCCCTGCACCCATCTGCCCCTGGGACTTAACTACCTGCCCCCAGGGTCAGAGCTGAGGCCTGAGAGGGACCCACCACACAGCCTCCATAGCCCGACGACCCTGCAGACAATAACAGAACGGCACTTTCCCCCCAGGGTTGTGGTGGGAATTTAGTAAAATAATACATGAAGTGCTGAGAACAGGACCTGGCTGGCCCATCATCTGGGCTGGTGAATGTTAGCGGTTCCTGTTCCTGCTTCTTTGTCATCACTGAGGGAGGGAGGGCAGTCACATGGAGATGGGGCAGTGGTCAAGTGCTCCCAAGGCCTTTGTGTGAGTCCGTGTCCCATGACCTGTGCCTCCTCCTCCTAGGAGCCTTCCAGAACCCCACCTTCCTTTTCCACTCCATGACTGCCAACATCATCTGCTCCATTGTCTTTGGAACACGCTTTAGCTACAAAGATCCCAAGTTCCTGCGGTTGCTGGACTTGTTCTACCAGACCTTCACGCTCCTCAGCTCCTTCTCCAGCCAGGTCAGGGAGCTGGTGTGGGAGGCTGGTGTGTGAGGTGGATATCTAGGGCACAGGGAAAGGGGTGATCTGCTTTGGTGTCCCAGAAATGCAGCTTTGGGCTGGAAGGGGGGCACAGACAGCAGGGAGGGACAGGGACACTGAGCAGTAGAGGGCGGGAGGGACGGGAGACAGGGATGGGGAGCCTAGGATGAGGAGGCAGAGATGGAGAGTCAGAGAGTCAGCAAGAGAGACCAAGACATGAGGGTTTGGAAGAGGAGAGGGAAGGACAGGGCGAAAGTGACGACGAAGAGCAGAGATCAGAGATTCTGAGAGGCAGAGTGGAGGAGACAGAGGGAGAGAATAGGACTCAGACTGTCAGGCTCTCTAGTCTTCTGTTCCTGATTGCTGCAAATCTTCACCTCTGTCTTTGGCAAATCTCCTCAATTGAAGAAATTCAAGGATACGTGAAAATAAGGGACCACATTTCTTCATTTTCCCCATTTCCCTGCCCACATTTGGTCTTTTTAAAAATATCTCCCAGATTATAAAGTAATATGCTCCTCTTTTAAAACAAAATAGTGTGGTTTCTCTTTCTCAATGAATCTGGAAATACCACGATTATACATTAAGTTTAAAAAATTAAACTGCAGAACAGTATGCCTCATTATGGTTCGTACCCAGGAGTGTATGTCAGATTTGTGTGTAGGACTGTTCCAAATGGTTAGTCACAAACTCCCATGACCTCCTGCTAGACAGTCTGATCCAAAAACCTAGGATGGGGCCCAGAGTGAATATTTGCAACAGGTGCAGCAGGTGATTTCACTTTTCTCCTCCCACAGAGAACCACAGAGAGAAAAAAGTCTAGCGTGAAATTCACCAGAGAGATATCAATGGTTATCTCTAAAAATTAAGAAAGAATTTTACATTGCACTCTCTGTTTCCACCTTTTTTTTTTTTTGCAATTATTTGCAACAGTTAGGTATTACATTAATTCTCAGACAATATGGTAGAAATATGTTCCAAAATAAATAGTCCTAAGCAGGCAGTAGGCTCATCTTGTGTATGCATCACGTTATCAATGTTTGGTGCAGCCAAGGAGATGTGAGGGGTGGAAAGAGTCAGAGAGGTCCGAGCCAAACAGATCCACTGGGCGAAGTAGGCAATAGAAGCACAGAGAGCCAACCACCTGGCTGACTCAGTCAGTAGACCAGGCGACTCCTGATCTAGGGTCGTGAGTTCGAGCTCCACACTGGGTGTAGAGATGATTTAAAAGAAAAAAGTAGCTGCAGAGAGACAAGTGAGAAGAGACACACATGGGTAAGGAGAGGCGCCAAGGAGAGAGGTGTGGCAGCAACCAAAACTGGACGGGAGGATGAGGGAGGGAGAGACAGAAGGAGAAAAATGGGAGAATTAACAGATCAAAGGAGACTTAGAATCAGTGAGTGAGAGGCAGAGACAGAAACAGAGAGGCAGAGCAAGATGAGATTCTGCCCTACCCAGGCCCCAGGAGGGCTCCCCTCCCTGTGACTCACTGGCTCCGCCCCAGGAGGACCTCACAGCCCCTTCTCTGCTGCAGGTGTTCGAGCTTTTCTACAACTTCTTGAAGTACTTTCCAGGTACACACAAGCAAATCTACAAAAACGTGCAGGAAATCATAGCCTTCATTGAGGACGCTGTGGAGAAGCACCGTGAAACCCTGGACCCGAGCACCCCCCGGGACTTCATCGATGCCTACCTGATCCGCATGGACAAAGTGGGGGTTGGGGGAAGGGAACAGGAGGGGGCAGGGAGGGAGGAAAAGATGGCCGCGAAGAGAAGAAGGGTGGGGAAAGGGGGAAGGGAGTGGGGAAGAGGGGAGGGAGATTGGGAAAGGGAGGAGAGACTCAGGAACCAACTGAGGGGAAGAGGAAAAAAGGGGAAAGTTGGGAGGAGAGAGGGAGAGAGAGCCAGGTGGTGTGAGACCCAGCAGCAGGGGAGGGCGCCCCCAGGCAAGAGCGTGCAGCAAAGCCCCCGCTCCCCTGACACGCCCCCTACCGCTCGGATTCAGGAGAAGTCCGACCCCAACAGCGAATTCCACCATCGGAACCTCGTCTGCACGCTGCTCTCCCTCTTCTTCGCCGGCACGGAGACCACCAGCAGCACGCTCCGCTACGGTTTCCAGCTCATGCTCAAGTACCCTCACGTCACAGGTGGGTGGGCGGGGACAACCGATCGAGGCAGGGGGCAGGGGCTTCTCACCCCTTTGGGAGCTGCAAAAGTGCAGCTGGGATCCTTCCTGAATGAGGGAGGAAGCGTTCACCTCCTATATATACCAGGAGCGCTGCAGGTTTTGAATGAGCCCCTGACTAAGGCAGCCCCGCCGGTGGATGGATGAACAATCCGTCGGTGTGTTCTCCCATCATGTAAAGGCAGACTCCTCTCTCTGCCCACCCATCCATCCATTTGTCTATCCTTTTATTTGTTACCTGTATTTATTACCTGTATACTCAGATTCTTTCACCTATGATTGATTCAAGGACCTAGGCTTCCATTATTTACTTGGATTAATTGATTCAATTGTTGATCTTTTGAAACAGGGATTCATGAATGAAGTACTTGTCATTGATTCATTGGCACGTTTGTCCATGCATGCATCCATCTGCCCTATGAACTAGATTTCATTCCTTAATTCTTCCATCGGTCTTTCAATCCACCCTTCATCCATTTATTATGCATTTAGTTCAATTAATTCATCACTGATTATTTATCTGTCATTCAATCCCTCCATCTATTTGTTCCTTTTTTTTTTTTTTTCAACGTTTATTTATTTTTGGGACAGAGAGAGACAGAGCATGAACGGGGGGCGGGGGCAGAGAGAGAGGGAGACACAGAATCGGAAACAGGCTCCAGGCTCTGAGCCATCAGCCCAGAGCCCGACGCGGGGCTCGAACTCACGGACCGTGAGATCGTGACCTGGCTGAAGTCGGACGCTTAACCGACTGCGCCACCCAGGCGCCCTGTTCCTTTTTTATACCTATTTTATTTTACCTATTTTTATACCTATTTCATCACTTTTTGATACCTGTTATTTCACTAATTTATTTATTTATTTATTGCTCTATAGATCTAGCCATCCATTCATTTATGCAATTGATTTACTGGTTAATCAGGTTCACTTATTTGTCTATGGGCCATTTATTAATTAATGACCCAATAATTCATATATTGATGATAAACAAATACATACATCCATTCACTAATGTTCTTTCATTCATCACTCTTTCCATTCATAAGTCGACTGGCTTATGTACTCATTTATCCAGGTGTTTGTGGGTTAATGTATTGATCTATTTCATGGTTATATTCCTGACACCTAGCACAGTGTCTCATCTATAATACACACACAATAAATATTAGGTCATTTTCTACTCTTTTTGTTTTTAAAAAAATTTCAATGTTTATTTTTGAGAGAGGGAGAGAGGGGAGAGGGTGAATGGGGGAGGAGCTGAGACCGAGGGGACAAAAAATCCAAAGCAGGTTCTGTAATGACTGATGTGGAGCTCAAAGTCATGAACCTTGAGATCAGGACCTTAGCTGAGGTCAGACATTTAACCGCTTAATTGACTGAGCCGCCCAGGCTCCTCTCCAGTCTTTTTAGAGGGAAAATTTTGACAGGTTTATAGCCTTGAGTTCTTATGTGAAATTCTGTGCAAAATTGTGGTGTGTGCATGTGCGCATGCACACACGCACGTGAGTGTGTGTGTGTGTGTGTGTGTGTGTGTGTGTTTACCTGTGCCTGTGGGAAGATAATTCATAAGATTCAATAGATTTGAAAGGGTGAGAATTCTTGCTTCCCACCGCCCCCCCTCCCCGCCTCCCCCTCCTCCAGGCTTGTTGCTCTTAGGGGTGTCGATGACCTAACCCTTTATTACAGGTTTTTCCTGGCTCATTAGCCCACACAAAGCAGTGTCCCTGCTGAAATGTCTCTTTAAAATGAGGTTCCCTCAAACTGAGGGTTGATGGGGGGTGGGAGGGCAGGGAGGGTGGGTGATGGTTACTGAGGAGGGCACCGTTTGGGATGAGCACTGGGTGTTGTATGGAAACCAATTTGACAATAAATTTCATATATTGGAAAAAATAAAACAAAATGAGGTTCCCTGGTCCCACTCTTCTGTTCAGAGAGAGTCCACAAGGAGATTGACCAGGTGATTGGCCCACACCGCCTTCCATCCCTTGATGACCGAGCCAAAATGTCATACACTAATGCAGTCATCCATGAGATTCAGAGATTCAGTGACCTCTTCCCTATTGGCGCGCCGCACATGGTCACCAAAGACACTCACTTCAGAGGGTACTTCATGCCCAAGGTGAGGCCAGCTGGGCTCCCACATTTTTCCCGTGTGGGCATCCTGGGTTCTCTTAATCTCTGCACTTGACCTGTTTTTGGTTTTATCACTAGGGCCCTCTTGGTTTTTTGTTTGTCTGTTTGTTTGGTTTTGTTTTGTTTTTCAGGGTGGGCTGAGGAAAGGAATGGCAGTATCTGTTGACCTTGTGACTCTCCCTCAGGGCACTGAAGTATATCCCCTCCTGCACTCTGCTCTCAATGACCCACATTACTTTGAAAAACCAGATGCCTTCAACCCTGACCACTTTCTGGATGCCAATGGGGCACTGAAGAAGACTGAAGCCTTTATCCCCTTCTCCATGGGTAAGCCAGGCCTGCACTCTCTTTCCCAGACACCAGAGTGATAGGCCACTCTCTCTTTGAGACAGTCCAGGAGAGATCTTGGTTCATTGAGCAGCTACTATATGTCAGTTGCTTTACCTTTAACCCACTTCATCTTCCCTGCAGCCCTAGACAGGGCTTAAGAAGACCACATCCCAAAGCCACATCTTGGTAAGCTGGACCTTGGGAAAGTATTTTAACCTCTCTACGTCTTGGTATAGAGATACACGTTGGTATAAAATAGCTGATGAGCACTACTCTGAGCGTAGTGCTTTATTGGGGGCTGAAGATGATGCACTGGGCAAGTCACATAGAGACACATTCCCTGCCCTGGGAAATTTACAGCCCAGCAGGGGAGATGGGCATTTATCATTTGACCACAAAATAGTACCTAATTAAACTTAATTAATGCTTGCAATGTGCTTAGAACTGCTTGGCACAAAGTCGGTGCTCATGGATGTGATGATGATTATTATCATTAATCATAACTGTGATAAATGCTCTGAAAGGGACTTTGGGAACACAAAGAGGAAATACTGACTACTCTTGGTGGTCCGGTGAGGAAAAGCTTTCCTCGAAGCACTGGCTTCTAAGCTAAGACCTCAGGGGTGACTATCAATCAGCCACTAGGAAGAGTGTTCCAGGCAGAGGGAACAGCAAGTCAAAGCCTGAAGGTGGAGACAGCATGGAGTATTTGAGAAAGGAGACAAACCCAGGGATCCTGGAGTGTGGATTCTCAAAGGGGAGAAGGGTGAAGATCTCAGCTGGAGGGCCTTGGAAGCTGGGGGGCGTTTGGGCTTGACATGCCCTGACCTGTCTCTTTCCCCGTTCTCCACTATGTGGCCCCGTCTTGAGAAAACCCCAATGCCCAGAATCCTCATCCTTTGGGAGAAAGGAGGGCCCCCGAACCAAGGCCCTAGTCTTGAGTTCCATCAGTGACCCCAGTGACCCAGATCCCCTGGCTCTGCCCAGTGCTACGGCTTCCCCCATTTCATCCTAAGTGAGAGTTGGGCGACTTGTGGGATGGTGGGGTGGGGCCCATGATCCCATCCACTAGTCCTGTTCTAAGGTGAGAGAGAGAGGCAGAGATGTAGAGAGGGAAGGAGAGAGAGAGACAAAGGAAGAATGAGTGAGAACAATGGAGAGAAAGACAAAGAGAGACACAGAGAGAGACAGTGACAGGGGACAAGTGCCAGAGACTGAGTGCACAATGAGACAATACAGTGAGGAAGGGGAAATAGGAGAGAATAGGAGACAGAGAGAGAGGGGGAGGGAGAGAGTTTCAGATGGAATCAGATCCAAATGGACAGAGACAGGGAGCTTAAGATTGAAGAAAGTGGGCAAAAGAGGAAGGAGACAGAGGAGCAATGTCTGATGGGAGGTCAATCAGAGCAAAAGACTGATGCAGGATTGCCATGAGTGGAAAGAACGACAAACCAAGCCAAAAAGATGTTAGAGCCAACGGGATAGTGAAGGGTGTCCCAGTGGACAGTCCCAGGGATTGGGATTGGAAGAGAGGATGGGAGGGAGGCAGTAGGAGCCAGGCTGTTCTGGAAAGAACTGGGTCACAGAACCAGTCCCAGGAGAACTAGTCTAGAGCCCTGCTCTGAGTATCTCTAAGTCCCTGTTACCTAACTTCTGATGTGCCAAAAAGATACAGACATTTCCCCCAGAGCCGTCCACATAGGCATAATGTCTGACACCTTGACTGGTCTAGGAAATATCTGAATGGCCTTGCCATGGTGGCCAGCTTGCAGATCAAGAGCCATTGAGGTGGGGTGCCTGGGTGGCTCAGTCAGTTAAACGTGGGGCTTTAGCTCAGGTCATGAGCCACCCTTGGTGAGGTCGAGCCCTGTGTCAGGCTCTGTGCTCAGAGCCGAGAGCCTGCTTCAGATTCTGTCTCCCTCTCTCTCTGCCCCACCCCCTGCTCCCACTCTGTGTATTTGAGAGCGCTCTCTCAAAACTTAGTAAACATTAAAAAAGAAAGAGCCACTGAGGTAAAGGAGGCTTTCGGTGCCTCTTCCTGGGGTTCCTACTCCCTTTGTGTTATTTCTCTTCAAGCCCATGCTTCATAACCTACTGGAGGCTCTCACACCTCTGGGAATCCAAGGAAGCAGACCCATTCACAATTCTTTTTATTTATTTATTCATTTTAATAGCACGTGAGCATGGGCTCCTGAGCAGGGTAGGGGCCGAGAGAGAGGGAGAGAGAAAATCCAAAGCAGGCTCCGTACTATTCACGCAGAGATCAAGACCTGGGAGCCAAAATCAAGAGTCAGATACTCAAGCAACTGAGCCACCCAGGTGCCCCGCCCCATTCACAATTTTAAGTGTAGTTTGGTTTCCCCCCCAAACTTTTGAAGCCCATGGCTCTCGGACTGAGATAAAAAGACAACCCAGATACAGAAAAACACACACTGTGCCAGATACACCCTCATGCTCCCAACCGCACACACTGCCTCCATGTGCTCCCTGCCCCCCAATCCTCCTCACACTCTCCCCCCTCATACACTTCCCACACAACTCCCCTCCACTCTCCCCTCCATACTCTCCCCACATATTCCCCACACAACTCGCCTATACATTCCCTCCACACACTCCTCCCACACATACCTCCTGCCCCTCCCTTTCCTCCTTACCCACTCCCCCCAACACACTCTCCACCCCCACCCCTCCCCACGCCCTCACCCCCCCACACTCCCCACACTCCCCACACAATTGCCCTCCATACTCCCCACACAACTCCTCTTCACACTCCCCCCCTCCCCCCACATACACTCCCCATACAACTCCCCTCTGCATTCCCACCACAGGCTCCTCCCACACACCCCCACACATCCCTCCCATCCCTCCCTTTCCTCCTTACACATTCCCCCCAACACACTCCCCACCCCAACCCTCCTCACACCTCTGCCCTCCCCCACTCCCCACACAATTGCCCTCCACATTTCCCACACAACTCCTCTTCACACTGCCCCCCCCGTACTCCCCCCACACTCTCCCCCCCATATTCCCCTCCCATTCCCCCTTACCCACTCCGGGCCAACACACTCTCTGCCCCCACCCCTCCCCACACCCCTGTCCAGGTCTCACACCACAGGTTCCCCACACAACTGCCCTCCACATTCCCCTTACTTCCTCCACACACACACCCCCACACTCCCCCCCACACCCCCTACACTCCCTCCCACACAAACTGCCCACCACACATACATTCACCACCACAGTCACACACACTCCCCACCAGACACACACTCCCCCCCCCACCCCACACACACTTCTTACCACACACACCCAGAAACATACACAAACAATAACTACACCTATAGTATCCTTAGTACAGGCCAGGTCCTAGTCTGAGAATTTTTACAAATGTTAATTTCTTTAACTTCATAATAGTCCTTTGAAATAAGTACCATCCTCCTCATATTAGAGATGAAGGACATTAAAAATGTTGTCAGAAATGTGCACACACCTGCACATGTGGAGGCAGACACACACACACACACACACGCACACACACACACGCACACACATCTAACCTGAAGTGGGTGTTTATTCTCCAAGTGGCCGCTGAAGCCTCTGGAAATCTCACAGAAGCTACAAACTCTCCTGGAAAAACGTGCAAGGCACCTCCACCTGAACGTTAGCCCCTGGTTTCAGAGGGCTCGGGACCCCCCTAAAACACCACCCTGGATTGCAGGTTGAAGGCCAGTCCCATACAAATCTGTTGTTGATGGACACAGAAGTCTGGGCTTTGGGATGTGACCGGGCAAGGGATGTGCATCAGCTCTGTGCCCACATTGGTGACCTTCTGTGTTCACAGGGAAGCGCATTTGTCTTGGTGAAGGCATCGCCCACATGGAATTATTCCTCTTCTTCACCACCATCCTCCAGAACTTCTCTGTGGCCAGCCCTGTGGCCCCCGAGGACATCGACCTCACACCCCAGGAGAGTGGCATAGGAAGAGTGCCCCCAGTATACCAGATCAGCTTTCGGTCCCACAGAGGGGACTGAGAGAAGGGCCTCAAAGGATCCCAGGATCAGGAAGTATTCCCACCTCTGCAGAAGCCAGTTCCTTGACTGGCCCTGGGTCTTCCTGCTGCTGAGAGACCCACCACAAGCCAGTGTCTCCCCCCTCCTCGGTTGCTGCCTCTGTGGGAGAGTCCTTTCTGCAGCCTCATCTCAGACCATCACTCTGCAGCTCTTGCATAGACTCATGGAAGTGTTTTCCTTTCCTTTGTTAACAGAGTTCCCAGTGTGGTGTATATATAGAAGCTGGGGGCTAAGACGGGAGACTTGACTCAGATGCTCTTTGCATTTGTGCCTCCCAGGCCACGGCTTCCCCCAGGGGCTTCTCCCTTCCTCAGAACAACCACAGTCTCCATTTAGCAACTGTTTTCGCTCCGTGATCTGTACATACGTGACCTCCCTGGAATCCTCTAGCAGTCACTCCCCATTCCCCCTTCCCCTCAGCTCCTGGCAACCACCAATCTGCTTTTGGTCTTTATGTATTTGCCTATTCCGTGTGTTTCATGCAAATGGAATCATACAATACGTGCTCTTTTGTGTCCAGCTTCTTTCACTTGGCATAATATTTTGGGGTTCATCCACATTGTAGACCATTGCTTGTACACTGCCATCCCCATTCTTACTGAATTTCCCTACTTCCGCCCCTCAATGCAAGGGCCTCTTAGCTGCAGCTTCTCCCCTGGTGCCTTGGATTCCCTGGTATTCCCCTTCAAATCCCCTGAGACTGAAACAAACATCCAAATCCTGACATCCCCTGGGAAGATGGTGATCCATGCCATCTTACGTGAACCCACTTATTGTCAGGTCACTAGGGATCTTTCTAGAAGATGAGAACTTCTTCACCTCAAAACCAGGCCCAAGAAGGCAAATATTTGCTAAGGAATGAATGAATGAATGAATGAATGAATGAGTGGTTAAATCAGGCAGCCTCAAACCCGCCCAACATGGAGCTAGGCTTCCCCCATCAGACCTTATCTTTTTCTTCATTTCTCATTCTCTTCTGAGGTCTGTAGCAAATCCTTCTTTCCAGCGATCTCAGGATGCCTCAGTCCGGTCTTCTAGCGATTTCCAATCCCTCATGATGCAATGGCACCTTCTAAGAAAATCAGCCAAGAGCCACCCTTGCAGTAGACCATCCTACACCAGGCTCTGCCAGCTGGCACCACCGCCCTTCCCTCAAGAAGGTACCCCAGGTTCAAGGGCATTGCCTGCTAAGATACGTCCAGCCAGCCAGGGGCCAATGGGAAGCCAGTTTGGGGATCCAATAGAGAGGCTAAACTTCCTGGCCTCTGTAGCACCTGCCATCTTTGGGTTCCCTGATGCCACTGGGGAGTTACCAAGAGCTGTGCTAAAGTAGATTTTTGGCACATCCGCCCCGACGATCACAGAAAAGAGAGGGTGACACACAACAGAGCAGCCTACCTTTTAAGAGGGCTAGCAGGATGGAAGGAAGACAGAGGCGGGACCATGGCAGTCACAGCCCCTTGCTGCTCTGGGGTCATCTGGCTTCTTGGAGTCAACTCCCTCCTGGACTGTGGCCTCTGCCCTTCCTGGGGAACTTTTTGCAAATGGACCCCAAGGGCTTTCTCAAGTCCTTCCAGGCGGTGAGATGGGATGGGGAAAGCTGGTGGAAAGCTATCATCTCTCTATCTTATACTTTTTCTGGATCATTTGTGATCAATTACACACAACATGGCCCTTTACTCCTAGATCCTTCAGTGTGTATTTCCTAGGAACAGATATGTTCTCTGATACAGCTGCCATAGTGATCAACTTGAGTGAAGTTAACATTGGTACAATACTTTCATCTCTCCCGTTTGTATTCCAGTTTTGTCAATTTGAGAAGCAATTTGACAATTTTGAAAAGAAATGGCAGAGTATTTTCGTGGTCGGAGTGATTCCACACTCCAGAGACATCACCATAGTTAAAGGCACAGGCTCTGGAGCCAGACCTCAGAGGTTTGGTCCAGCCTCTGCACCCCATCAGCAAAGTGACCTTGGTGAGGTTATGTAACCTCTTGATGCCTCAGTTTGCCCAACAGTAAAAATGGGGATATTTCTAGCTATACGTAAGTGAAAATATCGACAACAGTGTTTGGGTTTTGCTTCAAAAGAATCCTGATTTTTGGGGGGTGTGGAAGGAGGAGATGGTCGAGAGCATAGATGAAACAAGATTAGCCATGAGTTGATTATTGCTGAAACCAGATGATGGATATTTTATGTATCTATCTTTGTATATGCTTGAAATCTCCCATAGTACAATTTTTTTCAAAGAAAGAAAAGTAAAATAAACGTGGGGAGGGGTGGAGATTATTAATTATCACCCACCTGCCTTTAAAGGTAATTAATAATTGGGGTTAGGAAGAGGGATGAAACAAGTTACTTTAAATCTAAATTAAGCACTGACTGGAGCATGGCAAATGTTGTTAACTATTAGTTTTTATTTGTTACCAGCAGGTGGCGCTGTCTCCCAGCTGCATAGGGAGCGGGGCTTGGGAGCCCATGATTATTAGCCCTGTGTTTGAGGGATGCTTGGCTGGCCCCTACAGTAGACTCTTATGGGAGTCGTGAGTTCAAGCCCCATGTTGGGAGTGAGGACTACTTAAACACACACACACACACACACACACACACACACACACCACACAGGTTACACAGTTTCATTAAAAATAATTAGCCCTGGGGCGCCTGGGTGGCTCAGTTCAACTTCAGAGTCCAACTTCGGCTCAGATCATGATCCCACGGTTGGTGAGTTTGAGCCCCGTGTTGGGCTCTGTGCTAACAGCTCAGATCCTGGAGCTTGCTTCAGATTCTGTGTCTCCCTCTGTCTCTGCCTCTCCCATGCTCATGCTCTGTCTCTCTCTGTCTCAATAATAAATAAACATTAAAAAAAAAATTAGTCCTGAGTTTGAATTCTGCTTTGCTGCTTCCTAGCTGAGATCTTGAACATTTACTATCTCTGAGTCTTTATTAGTTTATAAAATGGGGGTAATCATATTATCAACTTCTGAGTTGTTAGGATGTAAAGTGCCTGATGACGTATTGGAGTATACTTTTCTGAACATCTGTTTCTGGGGCTGGATCCGTCTCTGGGCACAGTGTTCCTCCTTTTTCCTATGGGGAGAGGCTACAAACAAATGGTGGTGAGAACTTTCTCTCCTAGGCCCCGCAGTATCCATTCCTGTTGCAGGTCAGTCCTCCAACCATGAGATGGCGACATTTCCCAGAAGACTGGAACTTTTAGAAATCCAGTGTTGAGAAGTGCTTAAGATTTGAGATTCTGAATCAGAGTTAGAATTCCCACCCCATCACCTGTAATCTACCTGAACTTACTAGTCTGCCCTTCAGTTCCCTCCTTTATAAAGTGAATTATCTCGGGGCACCTGGGTGACTCAGTCCATTAAGCATCTGACTTAAGCTCAGGTCATGATCTCATGGTTTGTAAGTTCGAGCCCCACATCTGGCTCTCTGCTGTCAGTGTAGAGCTCACTTGTAATCCTCTGTACCCCCATTCTTCTGCCCCTCCCCTACTAGCAGTAGCTGTCTTCTTTCAAAAATAAATAAAAACAGGGGTGCCTGGGTGGCTCAGTCAGTTAAGCACCCAACTTTGGATCTGGTCATGATCTCACAGTTCATGAATTTGAGCCCCGTCTCTGGCTCTGTGCTGACAGCACGGGGCCTGCTTCAGATTCTCTGCCTCCCTCCCTCTTTCTCTGCCCCTCCCACCACCTCAAAAATAAATAAACATTTAAAAAAATTAAAAAAAAAAGATTAAAGGGGCTTGGACCCCAGATTGACCACATGGAGGGGAACCACTTGCCATCTTGGACAACCCAACTTCAAAGGGATCACAAAGGAGAGAAAGAAACTTCTGTTTTATTTAAGTCACTGTATCTTGGGCTCTGTTGGTTTCAGCAACTTGGGCCTTGACGTTAATTAATACAGACATTCTCCACGCCTTCTGCTTGGAGATTCTCTGATGGGTACCCTTGATCCCACCAGCCATTGATGACTTTTGCAACATTTGTCAGCAAGTCCAGCTCTGTTGACTCCCCTCAGGGACCCAGAGCTCCAATGACCATTGCTGTAGAGGCAGACTCTCCAAGGTGGGGCTTAAATAATCAATAGCTGTGCAGTTATGCAGGTTGTCCACTGTGCAGGGAGGGAAAGGTCACTGCAAGCTGCTCACACTTCACTTGCCAAGTCACACATCTTGGTGCAGAGCTGCATCCAACCACAGGAAAACTTTTTTTTTTTTTTAATTTTAAACTGTTTATTTGTTTTTGAGAGAGGGAGAGAGAGAAACAATGTGAGTGGAGAAGGGGCAGAGAGAAAGGGAGACACAGAATCTAAAGCAGGCCCAGGCTCTGAGCTGTCAGCACAGAGCCCGACACGGGGCTCGAAATCATGAACCGTGAGATCATGACCTGAGCTGAAGGCGGATGCTTAACCAACTGAGCCACCCAGACGCCCCAAGACACTTTTTTATTTTTCAAAAAATGGTACTCATCTAGCGGAGCATTCTGAGGAATGGATCTGCCAGATGAGATACTTTTTTTTTTTCTTTCCTTCTAATTTATCCATCTGGAGGGAGCTGTTTTCTAATTAACACAAGGGCACCTGACTGAGCCTAAGTTCAGATTCAAGAACCAGGACTTGTCAAGATTCCTGGCGTTACAGGCAACCTCCATGGAACTTCCAAGAAATTGAAACTTCTCCCGGAAGTTAAAACAGTACAACCTTGGAAGGGAAATCTTCCTTTAAACCCCCTTCAGGTTGGGCCTGGAGGTCAAGATGGAGAATTAACTGTCAGAGGACTAGAGGCCGCCATGTTGGATGTCAAAGGCAGTCACTGCACTGCCAAGATGTTGACCGTTAGAATGTCAACTTTCTGCTTCCAGTAGCAGAATTGTTGTGAAACGGCAGTCAGTCTCCTGTGGGTAGTCTTTCCACACCCGCTCAGTTGCATAACAACACGCCTTAGGCCTGGAACAATTCCTAATCAAGAGGTAAGGAGCGCTCCCAGCTTGTGCTGGGCTTACTGCCTTGTGAGGAAATATTTTTCCCTGTTTCAAACTTAATGAGTACTCCCTTGTTCTTTTTTTTCTTAAGATTATTTTTATTTATTTAGAGAGAGAGCTAGAGAGCAAGCAGGGGAGGGGCAGAGAGAGAGGGAGAGAGAGAATCTCAAACAGGCTGTGTGCTGTCAGTGCAGAGCCAGAGGCAGGACTCAAACCCACGACTGGGAGATCGTGACCTGAACCCAAATGAAGAGTCAGACACTTAACTGACTGAGCCACCCAGGTGCCCCAGTACTCCCTTGTTCTACTTAAGTGCATGTGTCAATGGCCCTCAGACAAGTCCCTAGCTTTCTGGATTTCAGACCCCCCAGGGGAGGGGTCCGGGTCTTTCGAGTGCAGCATAAAGTGGGGTGTGTGCATTTACATGGTCAGTGTTGGCTGTGGAGTAGATCTTCCGGTCATGGGGGCCTGGATCTTGTGCACTTGATCTCCTCCCTTGCTGTAAGTAAAG